CTCTGCAGCCCATCGACTTTCATTGGGCAGACTGTATGCCAGCATCCCTCTACCCGGCAACCAAGATGCTCCGAGGACAAATGAGGTCACTTATGGCAAACACAAACCAACCATTAAAACCCTAGTACAATGCACTGGACTAACTGTACTCTGTCCTTGGATGAGGAGGTAGAATCTGCTGGGACAGGCTCTGAGGTCAAGAGTGACTCTTTCCTACTTATTCTGCATAAATTACTCCTCTACCCAGGAGGGCCCCCCATGTCTCCACTAGAGATCTAAGAAGCCTGCAGTGCATCGTTACTTGAAAAACTGTAGCAGAGGACTCTAAGGCCTTACAGAACAAGGCCCCACCCATCTTCCAGGTTATTCGTCTACCCAGCTATTGGTCCCTGGGAGGGACCCAGCAAGGGTGAGGCTAGTTGGTCTCCTGCTCTCAGTCTCACCAGGGCTTCAGCACTTTCCTGCCAGCCTCCTTGATAACTTCTGACGCAGCCCTTCTGGGGCTTCCTATGTGATGCTTCCTGAAGCTAAGGACCAAAAAGTTCTTAACAAGACTTAAGACCTTTAGCTATTGAGGCATTCTTCAGTTTTCAGGTCTGCTCCAACCCACAGAGATCCCACCCTCTGAAGTCCCAGGTGTGTGATTTGGGACTTCTGGAATGGGGCTTAAGGAAGTGGCCTTGTCGAGGCATCAGCTCTGTGTGTTCAGGCGCCGAGTCCGGGAAGCTGTGCTGTGTAGCACCCCCTTCTAGATGGCACCTGTTTTAACCAGGTGTTCCGGCAGGTCTAGAGACAGGTACGTCAACCCTCATGAATGAATACGTAACAGCCCGCAACACGGCAGCCAGCACAAATGGGGCACTGAGCAAAGAGAGCAGATTCCTGTGTGCATATGACACGTTCACAAAATGCCCAGGCAGCAGGAGACATCCAAGTGCCACTGGATTCCTCAAATACAAATGTGACTTCTAAACTTTTTTTTAAATTCAGGATCAAGACCACAGACAATTTATTATGTAAGACATGGGGTGAAGAATGATCAAGGAAAGTTACGGCTGAGAGTGACATGGAATTAGATGAAAAGGCTCAAGTTTGCTAGAGAGAGTTTAAATTTGGCTTTTGCTCTTGGAAACGAAAAATAATTATAAGAAGCACTTATGCCTTACAGAGCAAATAATCCACAGAGTGTCATTTTCATTTTGCAAACAGGGACACAACAGCAGTCAAATATAAGCCTAAACACCCCAAGAGTTAACATACAGGTTTGAGAAGATATAACAAGGGATTGAGCATGCTGGTGGGTTTTTAAATCAAATCCATATTGAACCCTGTGACCTACTGGAGGTTCTAAGTGGAACCTGGGGAAAGCAGCTTTTCCATATAAAACAACAACGACAACAAAGGAAACCCAGGCTCTGCTGGACGTCTATAATACTCATTTGCAGTAAGGCTTTCAAGATACATGAACTTTTATAGCATTTGTATTTTAAGGATTTAGGGCAAATACATTTTTTTCTACTTGATAAAAAGAAAATTAGTACTTAAAAGGTTCAAAAATATATTGATTGAGTGATTTTTTTTTACATAAATAAATTATATTGATTTTTAGGATTTAACAGCTGAAAAAACCCTTTCTGCTTCCACTGGAGGCAAAACTGAACAAAATGTTAGTTAAATAGAGAGAGCAGCATTTCTAAGAAATCTGTTGTCAGCATTATAGACCATCTATGCTACAAAGATGTTATTAAATAGGATTTACTCAATTACTGGATTCTTTCTTCTTATAAGATCAGTTACAGAATTTCTGATTTATATCTCTGATTCATAAAACCGGGACTCCACTTTTTGTAAATACATCTGATTGATATTTTCAGTCACGATTTAACAGACTTCTTTGAGATGCTCATTTTAACATTTACATAATTTATAATCCCAAATGTATAAAAGACAATGACAAAAGCATCATAAATAAATAATGCAAACTGAAATAGTTATGTCAAACTTTTGGACCTTCTGATAAATAAGCAAAACTGTAACAGAAAAAGTAAAAAATACAGTAAATTGTGACAACAAAAAGTGAAACTGGTACTAGTAACACTTCCAACATTTCCAACGGTCCTGCACAGCCCTGTGCCCCTAGAGTCCTGAACCATGAGCTTATTTCAAGTCTCAGAGTGTGAACTGTCAATAAAGAATAAGACCATCAGAAGGGATGGGACACGAGTGGGAAGGGAAAGAAACGGGGTAAGTGCTGCTCAGGCAGATGCATCCCAGCTCGGGAGCTGAGGAAGAATGAAAGTAGTGTTAATTTGCAACACAGTCTCCACTAATTTGATTTGGAATTTGAGTCCAACTGTAAAATATAAACAGAACAGAGAAAAAATGGAAAGAAGAAAAAAACTTTTCACAGTCGTATTATAAAAGGTGGTACACACGTTTCGACAACCTCAAATAACGTTGACAAAAGGCCCTAGTGAGTGTAAAAGTGTTGAGTGACTATTTTCTCAGAGGCTCCAGAAAGAGCCTTATTCTTGGTGAAGGAAAGCACAAACTAAAAACCCATTCGGCCCTGGTAGTGGTGAGAGCAATTCTTGAGAGAATGAGGTGAGGGCAAAGTGCTGGTCGTGTGCTTGTGAGCAGCCTGCGGCTCCAGGAGGGTGAGCCCCTAGCTCACCCCCATCGCTGGCAGTAACTCAAGGTGTGTGAAGCTTCCTCATACTGAGAAGAACCTTTTAACCTGGGGGAGGGAGAATATATATGGATAAAATAACGCCTAGTCAGTACTTCTTGCTGCAGGTGTCTGAAAAACCATGAAGGGGGAGGTTAGGTTACTACCAGCAAGGTTTTGTTTTATAAAGAAATGAATATATGCATTTTCAACCATTAGTTATATACTTCTGTCTATACTACTCATTTAGTAATCATGATAAAATAGGGAAATACTTTAACTAAAAAATATGCACCAGCACTTCCTTTCTCTGTGCTTTTCAGTTCCCCCATTACATTCTTCCCAGTCAACACAGCTCAGGGAAAAAAGAGCTACTCTCTGTCTCTTCTTCAGCCCTTCAATAGTAAATCCCTAGACAGCTTTCTTTTGCCATTTTTCCTCTTCAAATAAGTGGGAAACTTGGAAGAGAAGGGGGTAGGGCGTGTCACCAAGTACTGTATTAACTACGATTGCTGGAATGAACAACTGGATAACAGAATGAGAATTCTGTGCCTCCTAGACTAGGTCGACGACACTTAATCTAATGAAGTGGCAAGACCCTGCAACTATTAACATCTGTTACCATAGTTCTCAGACAGGAAATTAGGTAGGTAATATTACTTATGGAAACACAGGTTCTTATGAAGGTGAAGTGAGGGAAGTAACAAACCTTTATGGGATAAGAAACTTACAAGTCACAATAATTTCTTAAATGAAAAAGTTCTAATTGCTGTCACTGTTGGAGTCTTTGAGGCCCCCTTCCCTGGGCTGTGCCACATGGTCTCTATCTGGGGGCACACGGGCCCTGGATTCGGGGCAGTTCAGATCACTGCCTGGCTCCCTTTCTGACCCAGGAGCAGGCTCTGGGTTGGGGTTTGGGTTGTCTCCTTTTGTTTTCTTCTTCTTCCTCTTCTGGCTCTCCAGACCAACTATTTCAGAGTGTCTGGCCTGCTGCATGGCTGGCAGAGCCATGCCCATGCCAGGGGAGAGAAACATAGATGGGTAAATGAGTCCAGGAGACACTCCAGGGATGAGAAACGGGTTAAAAGCCACAGGACTACTCGTGGTTATTGCAGGTCCAGATTGATCAGAAAATGGACTAGGACCAGGCTTGTCTTCAGCTAAAGCGTCTGTTTTTACATCATGGCTACTTGGCTTGTCTTCTGCAGTCTTTTCGGTCGTAGACGTACCACTTTTCGTTGTGCTTGACAGAGGCGCTGGAGCAGTGGAAGTGCAGGTAGTCGCCATGGGTGCATTGAGGAGTCCCCCAACACCAAACATCTGGGGCACTGCGGCCATTCCTGGCAGCATCATGGGCAGCATGCTCAAGGTGCTTTTGACCTCTTCCCCTGTGGGCATTGTGGCAAAGCTGGCTGGGAACCCCACCAGCCCTGTGAGGGGTATGCCCGGCATATTTCTCATGTTCTGAAGTCCTACCAGGTCCATCCCAGCAATCAGTCCATTCATGAACAGTGGCCCCATTCCAGAGGGAGAGTCTGCCACGATGGCAGGAGCTTTCAGGAGCTCACTCCGAGGCCGCCTCCCTCTCCTGCGAGGACCTGCATCTCGAAGAACAGGCTCAGGCAGGGTATGATTGAACTTGTTTTCTGGGAGAAACCCCTGAAAAAGGACAAAGAAACACGAGATGCTGAAGGTTACTGGATGGCGTGCAATCAGCAGGGGTTCTGCACTGACCTATCTTGTCCCAGCTCCACGAAGGATCCTAGAGTGGGAGCACCTCCTGCCTACCCACCCAGAGTCCAATGGCTCTCTTTCCTAACTGCACCTGATGGGCTTCTCCCTCAGAGGCCGAGAGCCTGTCACCACCACACAGCGCTTCCAACATGCTCACCACGCAAAAGTGGCGTCCACCGTGTAAAGCTGTGACAGTGCTGGCAGGTAGAGACCAGTATGAGAGATGCTCAGGTCTTAGTCAAGACTTTAAAAAATTTTTTATTTACTTTTTTCTTAAAGATTGCCACCTGAGCTAACATCTGTTGCCAAGCTTCTTTTTTTTCTTCTTTTCTTCTTCTCCCCAAAGTCCCCCAGTACGTAGTTGTACATTCTAGTTGCAAGTGCCTCTGGTTGTGATATGTGGGACACCGCCTCAGCATGGCCTGAAGGAGTGGTGCTTGGTCTGTGCCCAGGATCTGAACTGGCGAAACCCTGGGATGCCGAAATGGAGTGCGCGAACTTAACCACTCGGCCGCGGGGCCGGCCCCTAAGACTTTTTTTTTTTGATTCAGATATAACTGACACAACATTGTATTAGTTTCAGGTTGTACAATGTAAAAAAAACATGGAACGCTTCATGAATTTGTGTGTCATCCTTGTGCAGGGACTATGCTAATTTCTTCTGTAATGTTCCAATTTTAGTATATCTGCTGCCAGAGTGAGCACAGTTGAGACTCTTGTGGCTGCGACCTCTTGACCAGATCCCAACATTTGTCTTCCTCATGACACTGGAAGGTTTTTAATTGAAGCCACAAAGCAGAGTAGGTGAGACAGGGTTCTGGAGCAGACAGACCTGAACTTCGATCCTGACTCTGTAACCCCCTAGCTGTGGGACTCAGGCCAAGTCAGTTAACCTCTCAGAGTTGTGGTGACAAAGGACAATAATATCATCTTGTAGAGTTACTGAAAGTGGGGTGTTGAATACATGACCTGACCACAGGAAGAAGTGCTCACTAAGGGACACTGTGAGTTGTGTGTGTGCCCCACTTCCCTCTGGAGGGCAATGACTCTGACACAAAACACGCTGCCTATGTGTTTGAAGAAATGAAGGCACTCTTGAATAAAGCTAGGGAAATACATCAAAATAAGTGATGTTCTGATTTCCCTTAAGGGAGACAATCTATTTCTCCTCTGCTCAGAGGTTTGCTCTCCAGTTTTCTTACTCCAGAATTAAGCCCTTCTGCTCCACGTGGAACTGAACTGTGACTGTGCCTGGGACTTACCGCTCTGCTTGCCCACAGGTCCCCTGGCACAACACCTTTGAATACTTTACCATCACACATCTGGATGATTTCGCTACACAGAACCAGAGGAGAACCTACTGCTTTAACAGCATCCGTGAGTGGCAGGCAGCACAGTGGAGAGAGTGCCAGCAGGGAGTGGGCCTGCTGCAGCTGCATATGCCCCTCCTCTGTGACGGGCTCAGGAACTTGTGGAGCAGAGAGGACCTGGCCAGCCCCCTGCTCAAGAACTTGCTCTCCTAAAGCTCATGGTCCGGTTGCAGAGGGAGAATTAAATCACTGCAATTAAAAGGTATCTAACTGAATGCATTTCAAAAACGGCGTGAATAACCCTCAGATGAAGAGAGAAATGTTTTCCCCATGGAAAGGGAGGCATTTCTTTTAGGACTCAGCATCTGTAATGCCTAAACCCCTCTGGGTAACTGTGCTCCTTTCCTTCTTTCCATTACCCTCCACTTCTCACCAACATCATTCAGTTTATCAAGGATACATGTCCACAGTGTTAAAGGCAAATTACATTTCTGTTGCTGAACAGTCTGTCTTTTTTACACAGAGGAGCATAAAGACAAAGCCCTTTCTTGTGGGCCCCTGGGAGTCATCTCTGCTTTCTGAGCCACACTAAAGGGAAGCAGCCCTAAGTATCCAGGATTCTCCTCCTCCTATTCTTGTCACAAGTTGCTGTTCTATCACCTTCTCTCTTTTTTTTTTTTTGAGGAAGATTAGCCCTGAGCTAACTGGTGCCAATCCTCCTCTTTTTGCTGAGGAAGTCTGGTCCTGAGCTAACATCTGTGCCCATCTTCCTCTACTTTATATGTGGGACGCCTACCACAGTATGGCTTGCCAAGCGGTGCCATGTCCACACCTGGGATCCGAACTGGTGAACCCCAGGCAGCCGAAGTGGAACATGCGAACTTAACTGCTGTGCCACTGGGCTGGCCCTTATCACCTTCTCTTTGATCGCAGAAATGGTGAGGCTAAAGATGTCCAGGGTGGCCTGGAGGGATCTGTGACCAGATTCGCCCTGGAAAGATGCAGGTCACTATCAGGGCTGGGATGTGGAGATGGGGGTGGGGTCAGCCCCAAAAGGCCCCTGCACAGGGCAGGAGGTGGGAGGGCTCAACAGTGAGGCTCCCGGGCATGATGCTGGAAGAGCCCATGCTTCTCCACGGCTGCCTGCGCTGCCTTTCAGGATTCTAGGGCGTTTGTGTAGACACCTTCCCTTCCTGAGAGTCTGGAGTAAGGTGAGAAGTAGCTGAGACCTCACCAGCCCACAGCTTCCTTGTCTTTGAGGCTCAGAGGCAGGGACCCAGCTGCACTCCTCAGTAGCGCATACTGAACGAGAAAGGAGGTCTAAGTCTCACTAAGAGACACCTGAAGGGCCAGAAAAACCCTTTTATTAGGTCGGGAGTCTTAGAGAATGTAGAGAAAGAAGGAAGGGAGGCTAAGGGTATCCAAGGGCTGAGACTGGTGAACAGGCCTGAGAGCAGTTAAGAAATCTCTTTACAACCCTCCCAAAGACATCTACTTTGAACTCTAATCCAGTAGCTCTGGTGCTTCCATTTGGTTCACTACCTCTCCTTTCCCCTGTTAAAGAAGTCAAATCCTTAGAAAATCCAACAGATCTTTGCTTAAGGGGAGTCGTAGAGCCAGGGTTAGCTGGTGACACCCGTTCAGGTTTTCAGTGCGCTGAGTGCACGTGTGTGGTGGACTCCAAAATGAGAAGCAGCTGGGATGCACTGATTCCCACAGCAGCGAGGGCAAGTGGTTCTCAGTGGTGCTAAGGAGGGGGCAGTGCTAACAGGAGGAGCAGCAGACTAAGGACAGCCTATTCAAGGAGCGGTTACCCTGCCTCAGGCGCTGTGCTAAGGGCTCCATCTGCATGATCTCAGTTAACCATCACCCCGACCCTGTGGAGTCAGTACTGTCACCACAACCATTTTACAGTGAGTTTACAGATTCACAGACACATGAAATATGTGCACTTGAATGTTCCCAAATCTCCAGAAATAATTTTTTTTTTTGAAGTCTGACATCTGTCCTTCAATTTCCCAAAGAATACTAAAGAAAAACCAGGGCTTCATGGGCAAAAAGCTTTATGATGGTCACTTTTGTTTGACTGAGGAGAAACTCTTCTCAAAAAGCCTTGGTTTAGCAGAAGAGGGAGAAACCTCTCATACTGTCAGGTTTGGTGCCCCTTCTTTCTTACAAATCAAGGGGGGCGGGGGCAGGGATTTGTGCCTGGGGGCACAGCTTGTCAGGGACAGAGGAGGCTAGAACCCAGGCCCTGCAGCCCCCAGCCCAGGACTCTTTGCATGCACCACACCACACTCATCTCATTCCCACGTGACCAGCCACCTACAGTCTGTGAGGCTGGTTTGTTCTGGAGTGTGCTGGGTGACTACTTGCTTTGGTTCAGGGGAGGATCACTTGGGGAGCAATTCCTGCCCGGTTCCTGTTTCTAGAGAGACAAGAGGACTTGATGGATTGGGGCCAAGCTAAAAGCCTAATTTCCTACCAGTCTATGTTGAGTCCATTAATGCAAATCGCCTGATTCTGGACTACACCACATAGTCTCAGGCCTGCTGGGCACACCACCTCAGCGCAGGGTAACCACAACTTGACCACAAGGCTTTTCCAGGCCCTCTTCCCTGCAGCCTACCCACAGCCAAGAGCCAGGAAAAGCTGTCGGGGTGTGTCTTTTTCCTTTATACCCACAAATGTTCCCTCATAACTCTCCAGTGGGAGGGCATGTTCGATCTTAGAAGTCTTTCTGTTGGGAAGAAAACAACTCCAGAGCTTGATGAATAACGCCTCTATCTTATTTTCAAACAATACGCTATAAATCAGACGTGCTTTAACATACTTTATTTTGAGCTCATCAAGGCATTTAGGACTGGACAGCTCACTTAAGACAGCCTGCGACCTGCAGACAGACCTTTGGTCTCCCTGGTCCTGCCCACTAAGTTGAAGTCACACTCCTCAGGCATCAGGATATCCAAAAATGTCCCTTCCCTGCCCTTGTTGAGAACCACTGACGTAGAGAGAATGCTGGGACCTTTCAGACCTTGGAACCTGCCAAGAAAGCACAAGCTGGCCACCTTCTCCCCTTCAGATTGGGAGAGCAGCAGCAGAAAGGCCCCACGGTGAAGAGAACAGTTCTTCATCTACAGCAAAGCAAGAGGCATGCTGGCGGAGGAAGTCGGCTCTCACCACTTCCTGTGGGAGGGAGAGTCACTCCAGCCCCCCAGCTGCTGCCCACCCTAGTCAGGTGCCCCTCCCAGCAGCTCAGCGACCACACACAGTGGCCACGTCGGGCTTTGGCAGCTCTCCCGCCTGGTAATTATATAGGCTGGGAACAAACCTGCTTCCTCTTCCAGGGGAGCCTGGGGAGCAGGCAAGGAGAGCAGGGAAAAGGAAAGTCAGAAGTTAAGTGACATGGGAGGCAAATCTGCTTTCCTAGCTGATGACATGGGCATCCCAACCCCAGAAGAGTATCTTGCTTTACCAATACATGGTAGCATTTATTCCAAGGCCCGCATATTCAACTCTAAAACTTAACTCCTGGGTAGAGATGGAGAAGCAGGTGGTGACCAAAACTTCCTTACTCCTCCCAGGAAGGTTGGCAGGTTCAGTCAACAAACATTCACTGAATGAAAACAGACCTAACAACCAAATGCAGTGTGTGAATCCTAATTTAAAAATCTTAAAAACAAAAAAAGTAAAATAAGACAGGAACTAGCTCTCATCGACATTTTTGGGACAATAGGAAGTCTGAATAAGGACTAGATGTTAGATATTATTAAATTCACATGTGTGATAATGGTAACAGTTATACAGGAAAACATTCTTAGGAAAGCATGCTGAAGTATTTAGAGGTGACGTGTTATCTCTGCAATTTAGTGTCAAATGGCCCAGCAAGAATCAAACAAAAAAACTACACAGACACGTAAAACAAATATAACTTACAGAGATAAAATATATGAGGTATGTGCACGTGCACACACACATTTGATGAGCGACCACTATGAACCAGGCGTCCTGAAAGCTGAATTGCGTGGCCTTGCCGCAGCCTGTGGATTGCTAGGTCTGTGTAGCTTGCCCAGCTGAACCACAGCACACAGCAGAAGGAGCTGAAGGAAGACGTTCTTTGTGGCATTTGAATCTGTTGCTAGAAGAAGGGGTAGGCAGACCCTAGAGGGCTCCTGTCCCAGGAGGAGCCGTGTGAGACATGGGTGAGGGGAGACGAACCCTCCTGGAGCCAAGCAGAGCATTGTACCAGCTCTTCCCCATTGGGAAGGCGGAGCAGCCCTGAAGACCAGGTGGACAAGTGCTTCCTGTTCTTGCCTTAACTGCAGGAAAGGGCCTCTGAGGCAGGGATTGTGTTTATTTAACAAAGGCGGGAAAGTGCATCTCTGGTAAGAGGCT